ATCTTACTCATTTTTGTGTGAGCCTCTTTCATTCTCTGGGGTTTCTTTTCCAAATGAAAAGGAAGTCTGCTTTAATTCACCTACGAGCTAAAATTAAACTCCATCTTGGTTTCTTTCTTCCTGTTAGATAGTTGTTGTTAGTTGCGAAGTCATGTCCGACCCATCGCGACCCCATGGACAACGTTCCTCCAGGCCTTCCTGTCCTCTACCACCTTCTGGAGTTAGATAGTGGTTTAATATTAAAATAGAGGCTGTCTGTCTTGCCTACCATCAAGATTTAAAAAAAAATCTACATCTGTGAATGTGTTATCCGCCTAGTGCTCCGGGGATAGTGCGTCAAATCCATATTATATCCAAATGTTCTCCTTTGTTTTTGTGTAACTGGTGTCATCAACGTGTACTTAAGAATCCAAGCAACATATTGCCATTTCATTTATGCGTCATGTCTCAGTATTATGCATTCATTAATCCACCTCCAGGCAAGAATAATTCATTAAAAAAAAAGAAGGAGAAAAAGCGTTCAAGTCTTCTTGGTTGGCAGAAGTTGCAACATTAGCAGAATAATAAAAACTAGCATGGACGCTGAGCTGCCTCCAGAATATTTCCTGTCTTATTTAATAGAGATGACCTATTTGGACCACACGTCCATCTCCATCCCTCTGGACTGGAGCATATCTCGTGTTTCATCTCTAGGGGGTTCCCTCAAAACTGGCTCTATAATCAGAGAGAGTAGGACATCTATCTTAGGTAGGGTCCCCAACGCCAAGGCAACAGATTGCTATTTAATGTGCTATCATTTGTGCTTTTGCTATTAGGACTGGGGAAAATATGGGTGGGTTTTTCAGACTGATTGGGGTGCTCTGATTCGTGACATGGGCTATGGTGTGTGTGTGGGGGCATCCTTTGTTGTTCTTCCTCCCCATCAAATAGCAAAAGTTCTCATCTCAGCTTGCTCCTTTTTAAAACTGTGCCACCTTGTCTATTCTTGGAAATATTTCAATTGATTCTTCGTCATATATTTTGTCTGTTGGAAACCGCAGATTATCCCAGGCAAGGGATAATTCCTTTCTAAGGTACCAAAGCACAAAATGTGCCAGTTTTAATCCTAAACTCATTAAAAAGAGTTAACAGGTTTGGGGAAGAAAATTGGGGCTAATTGTTTAGATGATTGCGCCCCACTTGCTTTGATGATAGGCTGGAAAAAATGGAAGGAGCAATTTTCTACTTAAACACTGCGTCTTCCTTAGAACTGTCTTTAATTCTCCACCACTAACCTCTTTGTATTCTCTTCAAGGGCTAATACCCAACTGCCATTTTTTTAAATTAATGGGTCAATTCTAATTTCTGGAACCTGGAGTTTTATGTCAAACTGTCCAAATGACAGAAAGGGTACTGCTTTTGGTTTTTTTTAAAAAAGTGAAACTAGAACTCCAATACACAACAGTGATTTTTTGTGAAATGCACAAAACGTACTCTGTAGGCTATGCCCATGCTAATTGTCAGAATATATTAAGAAGTTTGGGGATGGATGCCATTCACTCTCAAGTTCCTCAATGTTTCTCTCCATCTCCACATATGGTTTGAGAAGGTGTAAACATAGATGCCAATTGTGTTTCTGATGCGTAGTTGATGCTCTGAAGTGAAACCCTCATATAAACGAGAAGCATCTTCATAGTCTATCTCTAAATCTCTAAGCTAATGGTAATTATTATTATTAATAATAATAATAATAATAATAATAGTAAAGTTGGAAGGGACCTTGAAGGTCATCTAGTCCAACCCCCTGCTCAGGCAGGAAACCCTACACCATTTTGGACAAATGGCTGTCCAGTCTCTTCTTAAAAACTTCCAGTGTTGGAGCATTCACAGCTTCTGGAGGCAGGTTGTTCCACTGATTAATTGTTCTAACTGTCAGGGCGTTTCTCCTTAGTTCTAGGTTGCTTCTCTCCTTGGTTAGTTTCCATCTGTTGCTTCTTGTCCTGCCTTCAGGTGCCTTGGAGAATAGCTTGACTCCCTCTTCTTTGTGGCAGCCCCTGAGAGATTGGAACACGGCTATCATGTCCCCCCTCGTCCTTCTCTTCGTTAAACTAGACATACCCAATTCCAGCAGCCGTTCCTTATATGCTTTAGCCTCCAATCCCCTGATCATCTTTGTTGCTCTTCTCTGCACTCTTTCTAGAGTAACTAACCAAGGGACCACTAAGATCACTCCTACCAACAGCGACAGGGCAATCCACTCGCATATGAAAAGAGAGCAACCCCCACTCCCTTCTAGCACTGATCATGTTACCTAGTTTGGTAATAAAACGTCTGCAAGAAAACCACCAAGCTCAGAGAGCTCCAAAAACCCCTCATTTCAACCCTGACTTACAAATATTTTATTTTATTGGTGCCACATATAGGCATCAAATGCTTCAGGAAGCATGTACTTAGCATTGATGATGTTACCTAGTTTAATAATAAAATGTCTGCAAGAAAACCATCAAGCTCAGAGAGCACCAAGGACCCCACTATCTTTAAATGTATGTTGGGGTGACATCCTGGGGCCCTCCAGGTGTTTTGCTTTATAATGCCAATAAGCTCAAGGTAGCAGGTCTAGAAAAAAAACCCGTTTGTCCTGAGTTTGTGAGTCATAATTTTCTAGTAAAAAATCAGATTTTTCTTTTACTTTGGCATTCCTTAAATCTAATACCGCATCAAAGCATTGGAAAGGCCATTTAATTTATCAAATCCAAGCCACTGCTCTATGTAGGAATACAACTAAAGTCTCCAGAGAAGAGAAGAGAACAGCTCAGGGTTGAACTGTGGAGTCCTTGAAGTTGCCTTTGAGGTTGTCTAATTTGGTTAGGGTATTGATTGGGGTATTGTTTACTGCTTGATTGTCTGGTATTAACCCCTGCTTATCTGGGCATCCTCAACAGATGATTATCAATTGAAGCTGACTCTTGGCCAATGGTTCCACCGTGGAAGTGATCTTATGGTTAGGGATTTTCTTGCCTAATATTCAACTGGAATTTGCTTTCCTCTTTCTGCGTCTTGGGCTTTGGCAACTACTATATTGCACTTGGTTAATTTTTAGACATAAACCAGGGTTTCAACTGGAAAAGAATTCCACTCCCCCCCACACACACATACAAACAAATACAAGACAAAGAAAAGGCCCTATACATATACAAAGGATACAATTCATATAATGTACAATGAAGAGGCCTTCATGCTGAAGTGCACTGATTTGATCTGAGAGAGATATATGTGTTTGCATATTTCTGTATCTTAATTAGTCCATATCAATGCACTTCAACCTGAAGAATATGGACTATAATCTACCACACAGACTGCAGGTTGACAGATATTCTTCATTTTATCAGTCAAGGCTAAAAGAGAGCTTCTGCTGTCTGAGGGAGAACTAGAACATGGGTCTCTCTGATTATAGACTTGTACATTAGCTATTACAACAACCTGATTCTCCTATATCTTTCTTTGTCCCCCCCCCTTCCTTCCTTCCTTCCTTCCTTCTTTCTTTCTTTCTTTCTTTCTTTCTTTCTTTCTTTCTTTCTTTCTTTCTTTCTTTCCTTCTTTCCTTCTTTCCTTCCTTCCTTCCTTCCTGTCATCTTCAAACTTAAAAAATGTACTCCATAAAGAATCTTGCTTTCTCCTAATGATGTACTTTTCATGCAGGAATATGCAGGAGGGCCATAAAATAATGCAAATTTTGCCAGTGATTAGGATAGATTAAAGTTTTGCCCTTTATATAGATTAGGCTTTAAACTGAAATAGTATGATTTTTCTCCTTTTTTCTTGACACATATACTTTTTATTAGCACTCAGAAAGAATGTATTACCAGCCACTGTTAATTGTTCAGAAAATCACTCAGAAGAAGAA